GGTTTAAACAGGAAGAGGGAGATTGTTTCCTCAAAGATCCTGCCTTCACATCCAATTGCTTGTTCCAATTCTCACACTACATGGAAGAGAGAGGACACAACAATCAAATTCAGTCCCTGCTTTGACAGCCCAGCCTCCTGTACGCTCACTGACACAGCACTACCACCCCAGCATACCGGTCCAGCAGCAGCAGACACCCCTGCTGTCAGCACCGTGCAACACAAAACATCAGGTAGATGTTGTGTAAGTCATCATTATATTGTCAACAAGCTCATTAGGCCACCAGCAGAACAGTGACAGACACACATAATGCTTCTACGTATTTTTAAAGACTGATGAATAGAGGAAGATACCGTACATCACACAGGATTTCAGCCCCACCACCCCCAATATTTTACACGCAGATGCGAAAGCGAGCGGCTCTCGCACGGGCAGCGGCCAGAGGCGACCACCAGAAGCAAGCAGCTGGTCCAGGAGCCACAGGGATGCACCACACTGCTGTTTGTTATCGTGATACCGATCTTAATACAGTGTCCTTGGTTGCCAGGTGCGCGGCTAGGTTCTCTCGGAAGTCATGGAGGTAATTGTATTGCTGAAAAACACCACAACCAGGTTTGTAACGAGCGCCCTACCCTTACAGAAAAACACCACCCACCTGAAAAAGCCGATACCCCAGGATGGAAACGGCACCCTCGAGTCCCTTTATGTGTTTTTCTTGTGCTTACTCCCAATCCTCTGGAAGTTTTCACCATCAGACACAGGTTATGTGAATCCCGGCTTGGATCCTGTGGTTCCTCACGGAGGGCACACATGTGAGCTCAAGGTACCCCAACGCACAGCCCCCAGGAGGTGGGAGCTTCATGTCAGAGCTCAAAGCCCACCAAGCGTTACTCTCTCCGTGAGCCCGCGATGTGGACCACAGGCCTTCCCCCCTAGGCGGAGGCACAACAGTCTGTAGTGGTGGCCACGAGGGCTGCCAGCTGTAACCTTTGTTCATACCCTCCCCTGCCTCTTCCGCCAGGGATAGAAGCTGCTGCCCACCCGCTCCCTTTGGCTTGTGGATTTTCAGCAAGTAGTTTAAACAAGATTTGCCTTTTTTAGAGCCTTAGGGCTAACAGAGACAGACTTTGGGCAACTCCTTCTCCTCAGAAACTGCTATCTTTTAGATTTTTGAACGTCAGCTCCTCTTTTCTGTACACAGAGCTGTTCTAAGACATCTAGGGTTTGTGTCAACTGAAATACGTAGCTAAAAACCCCATCAAAACAAGAAGAACTCCACGTTCAGCAGCTTGGGCCTCCCTCCATGTCGTTTCTACATGTTGGGAAGGGAAGGGGAGGGCCGTCGGAGCCCTCAGCTTCTCAACACATGCATTACCTGCTGTAGCCTCATTACCTTGATGGTCTGTATCGCCCCAGCTCCTCTCAAGTTTCTGAGGATGTCTATCACTTGCTGAGGTGCCAGCGCGTCCGAAAGCTGAAGCAGGAGACACGCAGCTACTGCAAGGGAAAGTTAGGGACACGTGTATTCCACCGAGCGCTTCCTGTGCACAGCAACAGGCTTGGCCCATGAAAACCGCTCAAGGAAAACTCAACCTCCACATGTCGGGGTCACACACATCGGGTCTTTGGCTGAATCCTGTTTCTTGGCACTGGCCCCACCTACCTGCTGCTCCTGCCCCAGCATCAGGCTTTGGCAACAGGTGAAATCCCTCCTGCTGTTTGCCCCCTGCCTTTCCAGCAGCTTTTGGGAAGCAGATTCTAGGTTTTTCAAGAAGGAGCCCCAGTACACCCAGTTAATTCCCCTTTGTGTCTTCTGACCACATTTGCTGGTTTTGGCAATCCCAGCCCTTCCTCCTGGGTCAAGCACAACTAATGCCCCCAAAAGCTTTAGGGCAAACATTGGGCTGAAGAAAAATGCCGAGGAACAGGTTCATCTCCTTAATATGTTCAGGGAAAAGGGGTGCGTGCAGTCCCACAGGTCAGACGAGACTAAAATTTGCAGTGAAGACAGAGAGAGTCAGAAAGTAAGAGAACTGTCTGTCAGCCTCAGTGAAAGCCTGACCCTCCATCCTCTCACCTACACACTCAGCTCTACACCCTGACATACATGTCACCCATCACAAACAGTTTCTGTACTGGCAGCTGTGCTGGTTTGGGCTGCAGTTCAGTTTTTTTTCCTAGTAGCTAGCATGAGGCTGTGTTTTGGTTTGAGCTGAGAAGACTGTCAACACCACTGATGTTTTAGTTGTTGCCAAGCAATTTTTACATTAAGACAAGGACTACTCAGTTTCACATCCTGTCCCTGTTCTACACAAGGAGCTGGGAGGAGAAACACCCTGGACAGCTGAGCCAAACTGATCCAAGGGGTATTTCATGCCATAAAGCATCATGCTCAGTATTTAAGCTGAAGGGTGTTGGCCAGGGAGGGAAAAAGAATCACTACTCAGGGATAAGCTACTGATCACCGTGCGGTGACCAATTGTTGCATTGTGCATCACTTGCTTTTGTTTCTTCCTTTATCAGTAACATCATTATTTCCTCTCCCTTTCCTGCCTTATTAAACAGTTTATTGCAACCTATGAGTTTATTTCTTCCCCCCCTGCCCTGATTCTCTTCCCATCCCACCCGTGGCAGGGTGAGCAAGCAGCTGCGTGGTGCTCAGTTGCCAGCTGGGGCTAAACCGCAACACAGCTGATGCTACTACCATGTGACACCACCTTTCCCAAGAAACAGGCCCAGAAACATTAACTAGCCTGCTACCTGGAGTGGCAGCTTGCATTGTAAGCAGGATTTGGCTCCCTTAGACAGTGCTGTCTCATGAGAATGGGTTTGTAAGGTGGGTTAGTAAGGCATTGAGAGCGGGAGGACAACTGCTTACTGAGACATGAGCGTCCGAGGCCACCGTAACAGCTGAAAGAGAAGAAAAGGTGTGGTTGTAAGAAGCCATCGTACACTGCAACACCCAGAGTCCCCTTAATACGTAAACATACAGACAATTCTTGCCTTAACGTAATCAAGAGGGGCAATAGTACAAGGAAGTCAGACTTTCTATGGAAATAGCTACAAGGCTAACTCCCATTTATTCCTCAGACCTTCCCTCGGTAGTGTCTTTTAGAGAAACAGGTATTTTAAAGTTCCCCTTTGTTCACGATAACAGTCCCAAAGGCACAGGAGGACATGGCACGAGGATGGACAATCTCAATATTCTTTAAATCCTACTCCAGATTAAGGCTTTGATTATAGCTGTGACCTAACGATAGCATCAGGGTTCTGCATCAGCAGGCAGCCCAAGGACTCAGTGGATGTCTGTGCAGGGAGCTGTCAGCAGGACCCTTCAGGGAACACTGAACTCAAAGCTCTTCCCCTCTACCCTGAGCTCAGCTAGAAGGGACTAAAAAAAAAAACCCACCAAAAAAACCAAAAACACCAAAAAAACCCCACCACCTAACCAACCAAACAAAAAAACCAAAAACACACCAATTTCATGCCATTTACGGTGAATTTTGCCCTGCTGGAACCCACCAAGTCCCTGATAAAGAGTCCAGTGGTGTGTTATCCTCTGGCAACAGCTGCTTTAGCTTACAACTCGTTGTACACCTGACACCCAACTAGGCTGGTGCCATTCAGCACAGGTGTGGAAGCGCCTGCTAGGCAGAGCAAGGGGAAATGGGAGATTCAAATGACAAAGGACAAGTCAGCTCCAAAGGGTTTTGTGAGGAGAAACAAGCAGCTTTTCCCTGCTTGAACTAATCCTAAAAACGCAACTGTCATTTGACAGGATTCTGTTTCAGCTGGTCACACACCTAGAGGGAAGCTGCTATCTGCCACAGGAACATGGGGTGAAAGGGAAACACCCAGAACCTACTGTACGATTGTTTTCCGGTTACTTTCCAGGCAGCTTCTGAGCTCCTCCAGAATTTTGCAGCACCTGGCAACATCAGGAACGTCCCCGTCAGGAATAGGATAGTGGTGCACACAGATGCCGTGCTGTTGGTAGGTGTCTATGAGGTTCGGTACTCGGTATTTTAAGAGCTCTCCTCTGGTACAAAGCACAAATACATCCTGGATCCCAGAGTTCTTCAGTTCTTCTGCCAACAGATTAAGACACTTGCAAATAAACAAAAGCCTATCAAGCTCAAGGATAAACAGATAAGCTACTTGGTACTGATTCTTGGTTAATCTTTGAGGTTAAGAAAACGGGAGTTGGCAATTTTGCTTTGAGCAGCACTTAACATCTACCAAGTCTCTTCCACATTTGCCTTCAGGTGACCCGAGGGAGGAATTCTCTCAGTTCAGAGCGAGTCTCAAGATAACCCTCACTAGAAAGCACCTCGGCATGTAGGACAGCCTGTTAACTGCTGCCAGCTTAAGCACGATTCTGTCCCATCCCAGCTGTGACTATGCCCTGACACTGTGGGGTTTTGCTATTAGTCCCTGCTTGTCTAGTGTTCACAGATGAATACTCAACACAAACCTTTACCTAACTCCATCCTTTCTATCCCAATCTCACTTTTCTCTGGGAAGAGGAGATTACAGGTTTGTAATTCATCTTGATCCTAGCTGCTGTGAAGATGCCTTCTGCACATGACTTGGCAGACCTCATGGTTACTGAGAGAGATACGCAGATGCAGGTATAGCTCCAGCCTGGAAATACTCTATTTATTCATTATTTGGTAGAGAAGCCACAGAGAAAGCAGCACCACACACTTGAAAGTGATCTCTGGTACTCATAAGAGTGATTGTGCATCTTCAAGCACTGCATTACCAACACTCAGAGATGATGCTGTGGGACATACCCCCAGCAAAACTCTAAAGAACTGCCCTGCATTCGTGGCACGTACATGGGGAACTATGGCATCCACTGTAAAAATAGGACTAAAACATCACCATTTTAGATACGTGGTGTCTGGATCCTTATGCCCAGGTCAGATAAACAGCCACTCCGGCAGTCTCCAGACTAAGACAAAGTAAACCTCTAGCTTCTCTGTAGCTCACACTTTCAATTTACCTGCACGTCGTTCTCACCCGTGACATGGAAGTGAGAGGCACCCAGACACTGGCCAGAAGACTCACCTATATCTTTCTGAAGATTTCTTCTAACATCCTTAAACCTGCAACCTAAAACAAATTATGAAGAACAGTTACCACTCCAGGTGAGTTTGTGTGGTATTAATCCCAAGCTTGTATTTCTCAGGGTTGGCTAATTAAAGTCCAGTAACTGCTTTCAATGATAAAGTTCACATTGTCACCACCAGCAGCCATGACCCTTGTGACAGATTCACCATGGCTGCAGTTTTGGGAGTTAAAATTCAAAGAGAGCTTATGTGTTTATTTTTATATCACAGCTATGGTAGTGCAACCCAGACACTAAGTGGGAACAGTAGAGTGAGCACAGCGAGTGTCATTTGAGCCCAATAGATCTTATAAAGGAATTATTTGTCAAAGCAGTCTTGTTTCATTGTTGTTGCTTGTTATAACTAGTCAGCCAGGCTAAAAGGCCAAATACTGTAAGAGACAATGAAGACCCAATAGATCTTATAAAGGAATTATTCGTCAAAGCAGTCTTGTTTCACTGTTGTTGCTTGTTAGAAATTGTCAGCCAGGCTAAAAGGCCACATACTGTAAGAGACAATGAAGATGGACACTATTCTCTTGCCACTCTGCCATATGACCTTGCATTAAGATATTCTCTACATTAGCTTTACTGTTTCTGAAGCTATTATTGCAGTGATGGATCACTAACAAGTCACCCTACCAAGTAAATGGAATGCAGGATTTTGGGGTACAAGATATTACCTCTCTTCAGCTGCAAACATGCCTGCAAATTTCAGTGAACCCTTCTTACCTGGAAGGGAACACAATCCCAGGAACTCAGAAGAGTAGACCGGAGACAAAGACAACCTACCAGCAAATAGAAAAATATCATTAAAAAATTAGAACATTTTGATTAGTTGAACAGGGGCAACTCACTACTAGACATTCCTTTTCTGTGGGACCACGAGAAGAGTTACTGTGCTGGGTTTAGCCAGGAAAGTTAGCTTTCTTCACAGTGGCTGCTATGAAGCTCTGTTTCTGGATTTACCCTGAGAACAGTGCTGATAAGGTGTCTTTTCTGCTGGTGCTGGGGGGTGTTTGCACAAATCCAAGGTCTTTCTCAGCTTCTGACACTACAGCTGCATTCCCAACTTGCTCACTACAGGCAGCGTGGGGGGACACACAGTTCAGATAGCCAACCCAAACTGACTGAAGGAGTATTTTGTTCCAGAGCACGGCATGTTCAGGACATAAACAGGGAGTGAACTCAGGGGCCATTACACTCTTTTGCAGGGTCCTTAACTCCTTTGCCAACTCCTCAGCTAGCTGCTTTGCTAACTCCTGTGCTGGCTTGTTCGTTTGTGAACTGGTGGGTCAGTTGACTTTCCCAGTTGCACTGCCGCTCATGGGGCTCACTCCGACTCCGCTGTGATCGCTCGAGCTCTGGCTCTTGCTGCTCAAGACGTGGCAGTGTATCAGTCAGCAAGTGGTGAGCAAATGTATCATACGTTCTATTTTCTACTATTTTATTTACTTATTATTAGTAGTGTAATCTATTCATTTATATATATCTATTATTCATTTATATTCACTTACTAAATGGTTCTTATCTCAATTTTACAAGCTTCCTTGTCCTTCTCCTCTGATTGTTCCCCTACACTGGGCTGGGGGTGCATGTGAGCAGCTTCACAGTGTTTTGCCAGCCAGAATTAAACCGCAACAGCTACCTACGTACGATTTAATTTTAAGAAAAAATTGAAGTATTCCAGTGTTATTTCTACATCAGACACGGGCATCACACATTTGGTAGCGTAGTTCTTCACACAGCCCTGCCCAAGAGGGGAGAAAGCGCGGACAAATCCCCGGCCTAGCCCCCTCTTCCAGCGGCGTGCCCGGCCCCACACC